TGGGAGCGGAGATCACCTTTTGTTTCTTCCACAGGCTGTACATCAGCACTTGCTGATTTTTAAAAAGGAAAAAATGAACTTTATTCAGTTTGCCAAAACTGAATTTTTACTTTGCAACAGTGGGCCATGACCTCAGCTGGCATGCAGCAGCAATGTACCAATGCATTTACATACACTGAGCCTAAAACTTTTTATTCAGTTTTCTATTCAGTCATCATGAAATGATGGAGCCCATTCTACCCTCTCTGTCTTCCTGCGACTCTTTGCTTGCAGCACCCACTAACCCACCTCTGACAAAAATGTCATCCTATCAGTGAGAAATTAACAACTTGCTCAAAAATTTAAATACTGTTCAATTAGCAAGTTTTGGCTACTTTCAGTATATCCTACTGTTGGTACAATGTATGTACCTGCAGATCTGCCACTGTTCTTTTTGCAGTGTAATCTAACTTCTTGGAAAATCTTGCTTATTTACATCCGTTCATTGTGCTAAACCAGCCAGGTCTAAGATGCTTGTTTACCAAAATAACAATCTGTCTCACAAGTGTTATGTCAGAAATTCCCTTTCTGCTTTGCCAGCTTTGCTGTACCTTGAGGGAAAGCCTTTTCCACTGACAGGTATGATGCCCTACTGAAGGTACTTTTTACATCAGTTTCATAAACATCTTGCAAGCCATTCTGCAAAGCTCCTTTCAGAATTATTTTTTTAATTATTGCTACTATATCACCACCACCTAAGCTTTCATATGGTATGTTTTATAAACATATCAAAAGAATGGTTTATTTGGATTTACAGCTGACCTCAAGCAATGTAAGACACAGTGAAGCTTGCCATCAACTGAAGTATGAATCTCCGTATTTTTTGCACTGCTGTGAAAAAACTCATTTAAAATCTCAAGAAGGCTAAATCAGCACAACTTTCTCCTGGAGATCAGCAGTAATTCTGACAGGAGCTATACAGTACAATAGAGTTATATGAATAATATGCCCAACTTGCTAAATGTAAAGATTATATTAAGGTTGGAGAGTTGAAACACTTCATGTTAAGAATTAGGCTTCCTTTAGTGAGTCTTTAATTGCGTTACTCTTCTCACACTCCGGAAAGAAACTGGTACTGGGTCTAGAGGAGCATAATGCTCGCATTGCTCCAGCATTACATGTTGCCGATACTGAGACGCATGTAAGGAACGAGACAGCGAAAAGAAGAGTGTCGTGGTGACTGCAGATCACTGCCCCATGGAACCATGCTCTTCACTGGCTCTTGCCACAGCCGTCTTCTAAAATGGTGAATAATTTCCTTTTTTAATGGTCACAGACAGAAATCTGGCGACTGATTTACAGAAATGCTGTGTGCTCATAGCTGTAGCTGAAATCTCTGGAGCTGTGCTCTGAATACTTGAAAATTCAAATTATTCTTAAAAAGATCAGATCCTGGATGTTCCTTGTCAGTCACCCCTAAACTGTTCTTAAGCTTGCTCAGACTCGACTGTCCTTAGATAAAATTGGCTTTATATTATTTCACTTCCCACAGGTATTGTTCAGATAAATTCACTGCTGTTTGCCAAGTGCTCATATGCGGCCTGGATACCCCCATAGAAATTCACTGCAAGATGAGGATGCTAGGTCTAGGATCAAGTATTGAATGACAGAGAGAGAAAAAATACTGACTGGCTGCATTCTCCAAAGAGGCATAGGTCCTAAAGGCGGAACAATGGCTGACAGGAGGATTACAAGTAATATATTTTGGCAGTCACAGATGAACCAAGTAACCACATCAATTTTGCCATCTCAGTTCTAGCATTTTCTAATTTGTAAGTGTTCATCTTCACAATCTACTGTTAACAGAGGTTGTTATATAGATAATACAGACATGATATTCACAGTTAATTTGTAAAATTACACACCCTATTATGGGACTGACCCCCTGCCTTGCATCATCATCAACATCTAGATTCACAGCCCAGGTCTTTTCCTAGAAAAGCTCACAGAGAGGGTCCTGAAAGACAAAGCTGTTACCCTCTAAGCAGATTGGGCCCTCAAAAGAAATCATACACCAAGAGACACATACTTTGCCACTGGGTTCTCACTGTGTGCTGGTAGCAAAAATGTAGAGTTAGGAACCCAGAGTCGATTTTAAGTGTTGGAAAGGAGTCAGTTGGCATACACACACTTATTTTTCTGTTGCTTGGGATTTGTCTAAAGCATATCAAGAAAACAGTAATAAATCATTCCTGACACCAGGATGAATCTTCCTTTGAAATCCAAACCCTACTGAAAAGCATGCCCTTTTTAAAGTTTCTGAACACAATAGTTGAAAACTCTTTCTTTGCTTCTAGTAGGATAAACAATGTTATCCACAAATACAGCAGGATTTTTCTTTTTAATTCAGCTTGAGGCAAACTGCCAGCATGAAAATTTTCAGCTCAATTAATCAGAGTTTAGAAAAAATTACAAACAATGGAAAGAAGTTTTTTAATGGCAAATGGTAATGAACTTACACACCAGTAGAGCTTTCAATTCACTCTATAAGTATTCCACTACTGGGACACAAATGTCTACGTGTTTAGCAATCCAAAATTTCAGTCTCAATAGCAAGAAGAAATTCCAGTGCAAGGAACAGACACTGGGCTGGGAATCAGTGTACACAGATTTTGTTGTTTGTCCTGCTGCTAGTGTGCTTCTGTGGTTCAGAGCAAATCCTTACTTCATCTTTTTCTCTGCACTTTTCTTTGCCTTTTCTAGTTAGGTTTTAAGCTCTTCAGGACAAGGACCATCTCTTACTAAATTTTGCCTACCAACACTCACAGTGGTCCCCTGCAGACCCCATAGGTATTACCAGAATATATGCATTATAATAACTTTTCTATTTTGTTTCCGATTTTAAAAATTCTGTTGATATTGAACAAGTTAAATGTAATACACTGCTTTCCATTGGCTACATTCCCTACAATTCCCAATGGTAACAAATACTTGTTTGCAGTATTATTTTTGCTTGTTTCCATCTCTGGAACAGAGGAACATCTTATAGCACTTTGCATAGAGGTCTGTGGCATATTCCCAACTAACGCAAGACAACAGCAGGTTGAGCCTCGCCTGCCTGAGGAACAGATATCTCATTCACAGTTACCCTAAATCTTAAGACACTGCAGAACCACTGCAGTTCTCCTGTCTGATGGGTTAAGTCTGAAAGGCACATCTCAGAGACAACAGAAAAAAGGAAACATTTATATTTGGCATTGGGCTGGGGCACACAGAAAAGGCACCCAAGGGTGGAGGAGTTGGCAGCTCGCTCTCCTTCCTAAGCAGTGCAGATAAATGTTAGTACACATCGCTGAGCTGTAGGTCACTCTGTAAGTGATCCTCAGCCACGAGCCTTCTCAGACTCTTGGATCAATGACACTTAGCATGGTTTCCTACCGAGTAAGACCCACACTGGTGTACCTTTACCTTGCTAGAGCAATGTAAATGAACTGAATTATAGCTGTAGTTAAGCAGTTGTGTTTTAGCAAGAAATACATTTGTAGATTCAGTTCATACCTGCTCCAGGGGAAGAAGGTTCAAACATACTAGATGTATCGCTGCATGTGTTGGAAGCTTGCTCTGAGAGCTTCTTTTTTGCACTTCCATCTGCAGACTTATGCGACTTCTTTTTATTCTTCACCAGAATTTTGTACATTAAATCCATAGGGCTTGGAAGAGGAACCCCAGGTTCAAGCTTGCAGAAAAAGGAAGAGAAATTTGTTACATCAAGAAAAGAAACAAGCTTATGGCAATTTCTTAGGGCCCACATGGTGCAAGATAATTTTGTAATCTCTATAAGCCCTGTTAAAATGAAATATATTTTGCAAAAGAGGTAACCTCAACATTAAATGAAACAGGGCTGCTGAGGGCACTTAAGAAGAAAAGAAAAATGCCTTATAAAATGTCTACAGTAATAACTGAAATACGTATTAGTTTGCATACGAAAGCCTACATTATAAAATGGCAGCTATGAGAATCAATTGCATTTAGAAGATTACAATTCACTGTATCAGAACAATCTCTGCATCAGAAATTACATGCTTAAGTCACCGACAGCTCACGGTGTTTAACTCCCTCCTTTAGAATCTGTTTTGAAAGGCTGTATATAAAGAATGACACAGGACTGAAACACTTAAATAGAAATTTACACAGATATTTGTGATCTGATAAATACCAAAGCATATTACCGGGTATTTTTCCAATGGATCCATAAGTAATGCATCTCCAAATATTAATCTGCAGTACTCTGCCATTTTTGCCTGTTGTTTAGGGCTAAAGAGGATAAAAGAAAGAAATAAATGAGTCCTACTAATGCTACAGAGTGAAAGCAGCAGTAATGGAATATCTAATATCCCTAAACTAGATATAATTTCCTAATCCAATTGCTGTGAATTTTTCAGAGAGACCGAGATATATCATGCAATTATTCTGATTCCACTGATAGAGCTTATCAAAAGGATCATACATGAAGTAAAGGCATTAGACAATTAAATAATAGTGAAACTGCAATTCTAACATTGAGGTATATTTTCCCATGCACTTAGTAGAAAACAAAAAAAAAAAAAAAAGAGTCTGTCAGTTGTTACCTTTAGGGAAATAACTATTACACAAATTTGCCTCTTTCAGGCAACTATTTTTATTCAAAGTTTAATTTTCCTCCTTATGTTACTTTACAGACATGCCAGGCATTCTTCTCACACCTGCCACTACAACCTCACCTGGATTTAATTCTTTTTTTGTCACACCTAACCTAAGGCATAAACCAGAAAGCAGTCTCCTATGCAGGTGTGTCCGTTAAATTTCCCAAGCCACGGGTACCTACCAGCTCCCTCGGCATGACTACGCGGCACAGCCATACAGAAGAAGGGGCAGAAGACATTACCTGGGTCTCGAAACCAGCAAAGTCACATCAGTTATAGGCATTGATAGAGAAGCAGCTAGTTTTACCGCAGATTTCTAAAATGCAGGTAGTTTCACTGCAGATTTTCTGCTGAAATGCAGCCCACTTTCCCACCCTATTTGTTAGCCCACGTGAAGTGGGTGCTGCGCCTGTGCAGCATGACAGCCCATCCAGCACAGCCCTGCCCCGCGCTCCAGGACAAAGCACAGACCCATCCGTGGACCTCCCGGCCTGGGTTTGCACCAAAAGTTTGCCCTGCTCTCTCTTCCATTCAGAAGTTATTTCCCCTGACATATCCTCACTGGCAGAAGTCATAGCGTAGATGTAATTGTGCTACTGCTAAGATGTATTATGTCAATTTGGAGAACTGCTGTAATAAGTGCTGGTATAACTACATTTTATATGCATATAATCACATACTGCATGCATGTTATGCGTATATAACTGTGACCAACATATCAGGACAGCCTTCTTAGTAGGGACGTAATAACAAGCTGCTAGGTAGAGCTGCTCAATGATGATTTTAGCTTGTTTAGGTACATTGTTGGAGTCCTTTTTTTTTTAATTTTAAAATTTTATTTAAAATCAGATAGAGTGTCAAATTTTACCATAGTAAATTATTTCAGTGGTTTTCATGACATCTTCTAGAAGTAAATCGAACCTCAGTAAACTCTACTTACAATAAATTTTCCCAAAGTGCAATCAAAGAATGAAATAATTCCTGCATATCAGCAATGGGAGTTTTAGGACTGATGACAGGTTATACTGATCAGCAATGTTACTGAAATAATCTTAAAAAGCAGCTCAGTGCTACAGTCACTCTCTTTCTAATTTTAGACCGTATTTTTGTTATATGTGCCTGTTTAAAATCTGTAACATCTGTGCTTAGGTACCTTTAGAAGTTTCCTTTTTTGATACTCTGTTGAGAAGTCTCGGTTAAAGGACGCGTTTATATTGCTTAATATAACTTCCTCGACTACTGTTAATTATGATCTGCATATCATGGAAGATACACAAATGGTATAAGTGGTTATGTTACCATGGAGCTATTTTTCATGACAAAATAGAGCTGGGTATATAGGAAAAAAGGAGTGCTCGTTTTTCTCTTGCAAACTAAGAGTACAACCACCGCCGTGTCTAGTTTGTCACTAGGTCCCAGCTGAGCACCTGGCGGTGCAGCTCTTCCTGGGGGCAGCAAGGACAAACCGAAGCTGAGATAAAGGCCGGGTGGCATTTGAATCAGAAAACCTAATCTCCCTCAGATCAGCACTCTGGACGTCCCTTGAAGCAGATATGGGGTGAACTGCTCGTTAGCCCAGTCGCTGACAAAATATATCGTGAGGAGGCTTTAAACTATTCCACAAAGCTACGCAAGTGCTGCACGCAGTTTAAATCACTACAGCACTTCATTAGTGCTTTCTTTTGCATGCAGCCAATTCTACAAAAAAACCTAAAAGCCACTTTTAGCTGAGGATGGAAAAATTAAGATGAAGACAAGCAAGGCAGTGGAACTAAGAACCCACAAGGAAGAAGGTGATGGGAAGAACTGACCAGGCTACAATGGTGCGTTAGCTATTTCTAACTGCCAACTACCAAGGAAAAGAAAGACACGTCACTCTAGTAAGCGAGCAGGCTGGATGTTTGCTATAGGTCTAGGAGTCATTACAGTGAATTTTATTTCAGTCTTCTCCACCAGTGTGTATTTTGAATAGATCCACGCTCTTAGAACCCAGAAAGTTCAAAGGACAACTCCTTGAATCAAAAGAGCACAATTGTTGAAATCTTCATAATTAGATATGACATCAGCATTTTTAAATGGGCACATCGACTCCAAAACAAAGTCTTGATAGGGATCTGAAAAAATATGCAAGAGTTGAATCCAATAAATTTCAAACTATCACCACAGCTAGAACAAATTCTTCTCATCTTCTGTGTTTAATTACATGTTTACCTCAAAGAGAGCACAGTGAGAACTTTCATTTTTGCAAAAGAGAAAAATGTAATGCAATATTATTTTGGTTAAGCATACAAATTCCAGTGTCACTGCATCCCAGATGCAGACAGAAGGAAAAGGAAAATTATGTGGAAAAACTACCCGTTTTCAATACTGTAAAAAAATCTTGTAGTAGTAGACAAGGCCAAAGTAGAAAAATCTTGACATTACAAAGTCACTTGTCTTTGTGAACTGGACTGTAAGCATAGATAATTTTAAAAGCTCCTAAGAGGGAATAAAAGATATTTAGGAGTATCAGTTTTTAATCGAGTGGTAGTTTTTTTGTGTTCTCTCTCTCCCTCTAATATATATCTACATATATGTTGTTTCGAGAGATAGATCATTAGCAATAGTAGAGATTATGTATCACTATTATAGTATTTTGAAAGTTGGAATATCAGTTTCTTTTTATTTTCCCTTCTTTCAAAATTATGAACCAGAGCAACAGATTGAAATACCAGTTTTTCTACAACATATTTCCCCATTTGTGTTATGAAACAAAAAAAAGCAGGTATTTCCTGGTACACATCTACTGTTACTGGAAATCCTCTCAGCATTCATGTATTGTAATGAAAATTGATTGCCTGAAAAGAGCTGACTATTTTCTGTATGATTTTCACTGTGCAGACATGGGTGGGCAGCACATAGACTAATTATATATGCACCCAAAATGTGCCAGGGCAAGGGAAGAGAATGTGGCAACAGGATAACTGGAGATATGGAAATCTAAAGAATATTAAGAAATGTATTGCTCATACTTTGTTTCACCATGTTTGTATTATGTCTATTATGAAGGTCAGTCACAGAGGCTTTTTGGCACTACTGCACGACTACTGCTCCTAACATTGTATTATTATCACTTCTGCAGAGATCCTCCTTTTGCATGAGACAAAGACACAGATGCTCCCCAGAAGAGTCTAAAATAATTTAAAGTGTAGGAAGAAAAAGTGATAAAAATCCTGTTAATATTTGAAATAACAATTCCAGCAAGAAACCAGCAGTATGAATAACTGTAATTAAATTTAATCTTGGAAGCAATCTTATATGGATACTGCTCAAGGATCACTTAACCTTTTTGCTATGTCATCAGTGCATTTCTAATTATAGTGTCTGCTTTCAGATTTGCAGATTGCTTATCTTCTTGCAAGCCCAATTTCAAACGTCAAGGTCTTCTTGAGGTCTTTTCAACATTTTTCAGGGCATTTTATTTTTTGATAGAACCACATCTTTTCTTAGTATTGTCGTTTTTCAGTGTGCATGTTTTGACTTCAATATAAATGATGGTGTACGTAATATTTTATATATTCTAAAAATCTATATGCTCACCTCTTTTTCTAAACTTTTTATTGTATAAAAACCGGCAAGAAGAAATATACTGCATAGTGGAGTTATAGTAAAGGAAATTAAAATTCTTCACATGCTATGAAGATATTAGAGAGGAGTCCTTCTAGAAAAAACATTGAAGAAAGCAGAATGAGATTAACACTATGTGCTAACAAGTGACTTATTCTCTAGGTGAACAAAAGGTGTTAAAAATATTCTCATGAACATAAACCAGAAGGAAGAAAAAATGCATTTTAAGTTCATTGGTGATTAACACTGTCACATCTGTAGTGGTGATGTAAAACTTACTTGCCTCTGATAATCACAGTCTGTTTAAAAGCCGCGAGTGCAGAACACAGGCTAAAACTGTATTTCTATTAAAGCAAAAACCTCTGCTGACTTTTATAGGACCAGCATTTCATACATGAATACTGACTCTTGTAACTTGAAAATCAGAAGAAAAATTTGGTCACCTAAAGTAGGAATTGATGTCATAGGATTTGTTTGACAGCAATTCCATAAAAACACTTTGCATTTTTTTGTTAATACTCAGGGCAAAGCCCATCTTTCAAGATGTAGGAGAAAAACAACATTCCAAGTAAATGAAAAGACAAAAGGAGCATTGCATGAAATTAGGTGAAGGTTTCTGTGAGTGGCATGACTAATTGCAGATTTCTCTAGCAACTAGTGAAGAAATGAGATAATTGTAGCAGTCGGTAAAATAACTAGAAATTCTGTTCAGCCAAAGTAAAATTAGAGATCATACACATTAAGTCTGATGATTTACTGCAGCAAAAGTAATAAATAGCAATAAAGCCTCAGAAAGAGAAAATACTTGATATTGTTTTTGCAGACTTGCTTCACTAAAAATCTATGTCATAGCAATGCATGGTAAAGGACATCAAATAATACACTTAGGGTTAATTCATTATTCCATGACTGGAGTTTTCTGAACAGAAAGGTCCAATGGTTTCTGTGGGGCAAATTCTAAATATTCGAGTAATGCAGCAGTAACTCTGTTCCCTTTTTGACATGTTCCTGCAGCATCACACCACCTTTGATTTTGACAAAGTTTCACCTTACAGTTTTAAATCCACTTTTGTATGTTACCTACATCTGACAGGAGTTTATATTATACAATTGTTTACTTCTTTACTTTCCTAAAATAGAACAGATTGTCCCAGAATAGTTGAAGATTTGAGTCTTTATGACTTTAAAGGAAGAAAAATGCAACCCTTCTGGTTAAAATAAATCGGATATTGCTTTTTCTCTGCCTTATAGTAACACAGTGAATGTATATTTTAACAAATACAGAGGAATGAATACAAAATATAATACATTGAAGAAGGACAGTTGAGATCTTTTCTAAAGACCAGAGGTTGCAGTTGGAAGCACTGAGAAAAGCATTGCAAGTTAAAACCCACAGCAGTAGGTGAGCATAAGCAAATCCAAAGCGATATAAAACTTACACCAAAAAGGAGGGCACCAATTAGAGAAAGAAACGAAACACAGTATCTGTGTGGTCTTTCAGAGGAAGACAGAACTAAGTGGGATTTAACAGGTAGCTGTTTGAATCATAATCATGCAGCCTTTAAATGTGCTCAGAGAAAGCACATATTTGCCTGCAAAAGGTAGTGTAAACTTATACTGTAAGGTATACAGGTAGTGTAGGTCAGCTCTCAGATTTTAAATTTTTCTACCTACATCATTTTTGATCAGTATTGTCACATCTGTTCTTAAAAACATTCTTACATAGCTTCTTCTACCAGTTCCTTCCCTTATGATGAGAATGTTCTTCCTAAAACAATGGAAAAGCAGTTAGCCCTCACCCTTTTCCTCTTCAAGAAGCAAAAGTGCCAACATCTTTTCTGATTTGTATTAAATCATTCATAGCTGCCCCAAAGATTACTTTTTATTTCCCATTTAAAAAAAAAATAAAAAGAAGTTTCTCAGTCCAAACTGGCCCCAGAAGTGTTGAAAATGTTTTCACAGCAGAAAACAAAAGGGGAAAAGGCCATTGAAGTTAAGGCACATGTTATGTGTCAATGCCACCCCACACTTCAAACCATGTGATCTCCATCTTCAAAACCAAAGTTAAACTTAAAAAAAAAAGAAAAATCAGAACTAGACAATAATAAGATCACTAGTACAAATTTAGAAATGTTCTCACTCTTCTTTTTTTACACAGAAAATTTGCCCTTTCTAATTAAAGAAAAAGAAAAAGAAAAAGAAAAAGAAAAAGAAAAAGAAAAAGAAAAAGAAAAAGAAAAAGAAAAAGAAAAAGAAAAAGAAAAAGAAAAAAGCTTAGGCAAACTGGTATTTTTTTTTTGGCAGACACTGAAGAGTTCCTGGCCATCCATACCACCTATTTTGCAATCCTAGCTAGTCTAGGGTTTTGGCTAGGAAACCCGAACTGCCACCCCACACTTCAAACCATGTGATCTCCATCTTCAAAACCAAAGTTAAACTTAAAAAAAAAAGAAAAATCAGAACTAGACAATAATAAGATCACTAGTACAAATTTAGAAATGTTCTCACTCTTCTTTTTTTACACAGAAAATTTGCCCTTTCTAATTAAAGAAAAAGAAAAAGAAAAAGAAAAAGAAAAAGAAAAAGAAAAAGAAAAAAGCTTAGGCAAACTGGTATTTTTTTTTTGGCAGACACTGAAGAGTTCCTGGCCATCCATACCACCTATTTTGCAATCCTAGCTAGTCTACGGTTTTGGCTAGGAAACCAGAACCAGACCAAATTCTGTGCACAGAATATGCACAGAATATGCTTATAGTGCAGAATAGGGTAAGAAGCAGGTGAAATATTGCTTCTTATTCCTTGATGAAGTACCGCTACATTCCAGCAGGACATACTGAGACTGTAAGTTAACACAATTTGTCTCCCAATTATTCAAACTTTCTCTTTCACACAAAAGGTTCTAATTCAGGAAGATTTTTAACAACATGCCTGATTCATCCTGATCATCTTGGCTACTTAGGCTGATACAAATTTGGGGGGGGGGGGCAAGAGCTGTTGATCATGTCATACAATAAAATTGCCACAAGTGCATACACAGTTCTGCGCTCAGACCTTACAAAAAATGTAACACCATACAAGAAAACACAGGAATTACTTACGAATCCACATGATTTTCAAAGGAAAGGAGGATCGGAAAGGGCGATGTCTTAAACGCACATTCAGCAATAGCTTCTATTACTTCCTAAAGAATCAAAATACATATAGTTACAAATGTATGTCTCTAAAGAAACAGCGTTTTGGTCGCTGAAGACAGAAAAGACCCAAAGAGGTCTGAAATCATACCTTCCATTCTAAACATCCCAGAAAGCTCTGGTTGTGCTTTTGCAGCAACCAAATTTTTCAACCTGAACTGTAATCAAATCTCCAAAACGTCTGATGAGCCTCAAGCACCACATTTCTCAAGAAATGACTTATGTCTGCCTAAATCAATAGTTTAAATGTAAAACTTGGTCTTTGCGTGGAGTTGTTCCATGCCTGAAGCTATGACTTTCACGAACTATTCTGCATAATAATAAACACGCTCTGACAAATGCCTATCTTCTAAACATCATCAGCAGAAGCACGTATCCATAAAATCCATATTTACTCTGACTCACAAGTTTTAGTTCCCTCTTTTTTAAGGAAAGAAATCCCTTTAAGGCAAAAGAAAGAAGCAAAAAAAAAAAGAAAAAAAAAACACAAGAAAAAAATTACTCGGTTAAAACAGTTGTCTGTGTAGTAATTATCAAATAGAGGGCTCAAACTGAAACTTGTGTAGAAGTTTCCTTTCAGCTCTGATGGAAAATGGCAACTGTAAATCTAGTAGAGGAATCATTTGATAGCACTAATGGGGGATGCACAATACAGTAATGCACTCACTGTTACAAATCATTCAATGTTTCCCTACCGAAACACAGATCTTTTTAAAAAGAACTTACAAAACACTGAAGACTTTCCATACGCATTGCTGTCAAACTCTGGAATGTACAGGAACCCATAAGCCTGTTCCCTCCCAAATCATAAGGATGACTAAAATCTGAAAGATTTATTTATTTTAAACAAGCCTCCTCTGGGGATTCCTTTTGCCCATTTTTTAGTACTTTTAAATGGTCAATTGAGAAGCATAACAGTAAGAAATCCACTTCCTAACATGAAAGCTGAGCTTCTGGTACAATCTTCTGATGTTGGGTTGCAGAATCCAGGGCTGGAAGGAAAGCACAAGCCATCTCAAGATTCGCTGATATGAGCTAGGATACAAATAAAATTTACAGTCTTCATGTAAATAGAAAAAAACCACAGCTCGTGCACAAATTGTTGTAGTATCTCTTGTAAGATGAGAAACTAGCACTCTCAGCACACAGGTGGTGAATAACTATATTTAATAAACTGCAATCACCAGATATTTAAATGCTTCACATATCACTAACCATTCACGTGCTTCAATTAAGACCACTTCTAGTTTTTAAAGAAAGCAGAAAAGCAAAGTATTAATGAGAAGAATAGTAAACGATGCAGAAGGCTGGGTGAAGGCAGGTAGGGAGCTGCAGCTTCTTTCACAGCAGTGGTTTCCCATGGGCAAACACACGACGGAGATTCCCACTGCACATTTTCTTTCCAGCTCCAGTAAATCACTAAGTGCTGGCACCACCTCAGCGCTGTTCAGAACTGGTGAGATTCTCAAAAGCATCTAAGGCCATTTTGCCAGGACAAGGGACCAGCAGTGCTGACAATGGGGTTACAAATGTTGAATCCTCCCACCTTGATGCTCTCCACACAGATCATTAGCACTGGCTTGGTCTCCACCCACCTCCACCCTCTCCTTGGTTATGGAGCATCATGCAGGGCTTAAGAACACTTGAGGCTGGATATAAGAAGTACTGCCAAAAGCAGTCCCGAGGCCTTTCTTGATCTTACACACCGCGCAAGCTGTGGAGTGAATCCACAAATTTATTTTCAACTGCAAAAAGGGATGAAATCCAGCACATGTGGGGAAAATAAGCTGAAAGGAAGATCAGGATTACACTGATGAAATCTGAGGATGAAAAGCTCAGGCATTGGTTCTATGGAGAAACAGGTATGCTGGTGATTCAGTCTTGCACTGCATTCAAATGTAAATGCAAATTCTCTGTGGTCAGAGAGGAACACCACGGCAAATTCCATACTTTACTCCAGCTGCAGAATGATTCACCTGAAACAGGTCTCCAAGGTATATATAAAGTACACACACAGAGCTTCCTGGCATGAAAAATACTGTCGGTTCCCTACAAGATCTCACGCTGGCAGCAGCTCACAATCTGCAGCTGAGAAAAACCTTACCGACTTCTGTATGTCACGAAGCAAGGCAAAACCCAATCAAAACCCCCACAAAAATCCCAACAACGTAAGGATGGGGAGTATATATTGCTTCTGTCTCTGCACTTCAGAAAGCCTATCTGAGGCAGTGAAAACTGACGGACTGAACAGAAGCATTGTGTGCCGTGGTCAGGCCAAAAGCATGAGCTGATAAATGATTCAGCACTCAAGACCCAGCGATCACTCTGAATTGATTCACACACTTCTGACACATTATTTCGCTATCATTTTGCTCCTCCTCAGCCAAGCAGCACACTTTCATTGCTGAAAAGAAACCAGAAGTTTATACATTTTTACATTTTTTCTGTGTGGAGAAAAAATATTTGCCCTGAAGTGACAGATGAAATATTCCTGACTAGGTTTAAAATACCTTCCAATATCTCTCCTGCAAACAAAATGCCTAGGGTTGAACATCTAAGTAACCAGGGATAATCCTCATTCATGCTAATAACCCTTTTAAGAATCAGATTAACTTTGTTTTAAATTCCTGTTCATGACCAAATGAGTTGAGAGCTATCTTCCTTAATTAAAGGACTTCCAGCAATCAAACTCTACGTGTATAAACGTAATTGGCTTCACATAAACATAACTGGAAAGTTAATAACAAATGTGCAAGAAGATTGTGTTTCACATTTTCTTGCGATTAACTCAATCAGTGAAGAGTTAGAGAAAACAAACTGAAAATAAGAAAGGAGTGTTCTGGTCCAAGTGAAATTTGGTGTTTTGTCTGTGTGGCAGTATTGTTTGCTTTTTTTTTTTTCCCCTAAAGGAAGACACTATTAAGACAAAAAAAACCCCCAACAACTCATGCTTCAAGTGTGGGAGACATGCTTCAAACCTGTAGCTAGTGGAGAGGCCACACGTAACACCCGTAACATAACCAAATTCAGTAATGAGTATTTTCCCACGTCTTCCTGCACACGGGTAAGTCTAGAGACGTATTTCCATCGTGAGTTTACGTATCAGATGAACAAGAATTATTTCTTCACACTTCAAAAGCGATATCCTGATGTATCATTATAAGTTGTGCTGACTACCAATCTTAATACTATAGGAAAACACCTCCATCCCACTCCTCTAGCACCTCGGATCAAAAACATCTTTAAGAGTAACAAGAAGGTAACAATTTAAGGTTATTGCCAGGGGTATAGTATCTACCTTTTATTACAGAAAAAGGAAAAGGAAGATGAAATTCAGAAATACAGATGATATGTTTAGGGTTTGAATGGCACAAATATCCCATCGCACTCTCCAAAGATACTAATTTTTCTTTTTCATCCTCCAGTGCTTCAAATTTAATCCCAAGTACGAGGATAAGGGTAACATTGCACACACCGTTATTGATTTTTTAAATAGTTAATATAATGATCATGCGTGGATGGGGACCTGCCAAACTTGGACGTGTAGCGTGTTCTCTGTCCACAGGAACTTAAAAGGCTTGCAAATTGTAGAGATTTCCACGTCAGCTCCTGTTTCCTACCTCAGTTCAGCACTTTCATCTCCCGTTCCATTTACCAGGCAGAGAAGAGAAAAAGAGTATACTGACACATTGCTTATTGCCGTTCAAATCCTTGTGACCTTTATCTCAGCTCTCCTTGCCGCATGCTATGGAGCTGTAACACAAACCAGTCCTTCCTCCCTATCGGCCTGGCTCCAGACCCGATTCACAGTGTGTAAAATCAGCTGTGGTGGCAATACGCGGTCTTTCAGCCCTGACTGTGTCTACCCTGTTTCTCTCCCTCTGAGATGTGCTGCAGGGACATCCTCCGGAGTATGGCCCTGGGCATGGAGCCCAGCCCCCAGATGGCACAGACTATCACACCCTTTTCTTCTGACTGCCATGATAACCAGGAACATCTTCTCTTCCAATGATTCTGCATGTGCTTTGAAATCACCTCTTACAGCATCTTTCTGCCCCCACATTCCTCTTCCTTTCCACCTTTGCAGTAACATTCTCGCAACATATTTGTGATGCATTTTACGTGAAAGAAACCTCCCCAGCTAAAGCCAGCTACACCAGTGCACTGTGTTGCTGTACCTTGAAGGATATTTCAGTTGTCATAGTGAATCCGTGTGTAATGACCGGCTCTTCTTCAGCTGTCCGCCCTTTCCAGCAGTCCAGCTCCACACAGCGGCAGCCTGACAAAAGCACTTGCCGATACATCTCCACCGATGAGTTACCGGCCAGCTGTCCAGCTGTGACAGCACAAGAACATGAAAAAAGGGAAGTCATTTTGGGCCTCGGGAATAAATACAAATAATCTAATAATAATTAGAGTTAACGGCGTCTTTTACCCTTGGCTGAGAGGAATAACGCTCAAAGACATACAAAAAGCGTAAGAACGTAACGGAAATAATAGAGTCAATGTCATAGTTTGGATCCTGCCCTTAGTTAAACTGCCGTGAGTGAGAAGAAATAACTGAACTGAAGCCAAATCAAAAACTTCTGATAGCATCAAAAAAAAAAAAAAAAACCAAACACAAAAATAAAATGGCTTAGTTCTAAAAGACTTTGTTATCCTTTAACAAGCAACGTGAAATTCAGAGGCGACTCAGGACAGTCAGATCACATTTTCTCATAACATGCAATGCAGTTTAACACAAGATAAAACAAACCTCCTGCACAGTCACTAATGGCGCCATTACTAGGTCTCAAATCAATATTTAATACACTAATCACCACACTGAGTTGGTCAGTTAAATTTCCTGATGTGATACTGCACTATGTAGGGAGAAATTTAATTAAACTACCGGTTTCCAACAATGACATAATATAAATCTAAACAAGGAAAACTCAACTTTTCCCAAACTAAGGAAGTATTTAAAAAAAAAACCAAACCAAACCCAAAAAAAGCAAACCCCAAAAAACCCAACAAAGAAATCCAGTTGCATTCAGGGAAGGATATCCAGCCAGGGTGTCTTCATCTGCTGCAACAGGTTTGATTCCAGTCACACGGATACAAATTTCTTGCAGCAAAGCGGTCATGATAATTGAAGAACAGCTTAGTGCTTGTTTTACACATGAAGAAAATGGATGCAGTTTCCTGCTTTCTAGCAGACTTCCTGAGAAAACCTTCCTGGATTTCTTAAAGGGAATCCACTTGCTTTTTAAGGAGGAAGTGAGTTCATTTATGCTAAAGATTCTTCACTAATGGGGGACATATAACTACTTCATTGAGACTGGCATATAATATAATGCAGATTAATCCTCATTTTATTGTCTCTGTAGTTCTGTGGTTAGGTTTTATGCTGGAAACTACGTGGTTTGGTTTGCTTCACTAAATAGCATTGTCTGCTTTCTCTGTGTTTTTACCTTCACCTAAAAACTATAATGGAAAAACTCTTCTATTTGAAAATTCCTGTTTACCATTTGTGCCTGATACACGAACTGGAGCAATCATAAAAACTCCACAAGGTATTAACATTACTCCTGTTGAAATCCGTAGGATTTCTCATGTCTTGCTGGAACCAATGGGAAATAGATGTTAATAACAGAAGAATTTTGCTAGTGCTGGAAGGTTCTGAAAATCCAAATGGAGTAAGCAAAGTGACAATGTGTCTCTTGTTTTTTACTTAACTTTTTCCTGTGCTTCCCCTTTGATTATGGCAGGTTATCTTTACTCACACAAAAGCCTTTTTGGTGCAATGCCCATGTCTGGGGTAAGCAGTGGCTATTTTTCTTTGCAGGATGCAAACAAGCACAAGCATGGGTCAGGGTACAACAGCACACTTTTCTGTGTACTCATCCCTAAGCATCTGCTTATGAAAACTTGGCTCTCATTACATGGATTTGCTGAACTCTGCTGCCTAAAAACCTAGATTCAGTTAGAAAACTGTTTTCATTTTGTCCTTCTTTTCCCTCAAAGCATATCGAATTTTGATTAACAAACTATGTTATGAATAACAAACTCCACTATACTTCCTGAGAGACCACTGGCCGTTATTATTGCTAAGTGTTTTGGACTACAAGATCCTTAACCTTCAAAAGTGCTTAAGTAAATCATGACATGCATCGCTTGCCATATGACAGTTCTCCACACTACCTTATTAATAAGGCTCAGATGTTTTGGAAGGATTCCTGCTAAGGATAAGAGGATATTCAACCTCCAAAACATTCGATCTTCAGAAAGACTCCCAGTCAGAATGCAAAATGCTAGCAAATGTTTTAATAGTCTCAATAACTTATTTTTCTGAAATACGGACTACTAGGAATGTTCCCTCAAATGTTTTTTGCATGTATTATTTATAAGTTTCTGTTATGTGAGTCTCTACTTGCATCTATTCCAAACTATGGCTTTAATAGATGCATTCTAAAATGTGCTAACGCAGACACTAAAGCAAACACTTCCAGTATGATATTTTTAATATGCTGAGTACAGATCAATTTTTTAATACTGGAAATTGAAACCATTATGTATTCCCTTCTATAATACATACAGCATCTACAGTAATACTGTAATGTTTGTATCCTATCACCCTACATTGGATAAGGAGAAACAGATTTTGACAAAAACTTGCTTTACTAAAAAATGTAATCAGCCAAATCATACCTGACAGGACGCTAAGCAAAATGAGCCTGTGCTAATTGATACAAGCTGAGGATATGACCCATGTTTCCCAGTTCCACACTTCTGTAACTTTAAGTTGCTCATTTCTCACCAAGTGCATCCTTGTTGGATTCATTCATCACTGTTGTTCCAAGTGCAAGTTATTTGCAAAACACAGACTTAACATTTGGTTACAATCTTATGGCATGTATCCTCCTAAAACCGGGGGTTATTTGGATCCAGGTATTTGGAGTCACTTGACTCTTCACTACTCTAGAAACAGAAGCTGCTTCTGCGCCCTCGCCCACCCACGGCACCACCTTCTCCCAGCATGAAGTGCCTGCATATTCCTTTTGCCCTGCACAAACATGAGTTGCTAAACTTTCTCTCTTCACGCAAGTCCTGGAAAAGCAATCGGTGCTCTGGATCATAGGCTGTACTTTGGAGCGTGCAAACTGAAGAGCCCGTACTGCTGGGAGTCTGGCTCTTGACTCCAGCAGCAACAGAAGGTGCTGGCGGCTAAATTTTTTTTTAGACACAGCACATTTACCCGCATTTATTTTCCTTCCGAGCTATTTTGCCATGCACAGGACAAGCAAATTAGACCCCACACTGTGACATATTCTGCTACTGCTTCTAAGTCAAAATAAGGCTCTCGCCCTATGGTTGTTATTTTTAACACCTTATACTGGACCAAAGCAGGACATGCGGCCCCGCTTGCTCCAGCCAGCAGCAG